TTTGTTCATTTTTCTAAAATCAATCTTTCTGTAGCTTACCAACGAGGATTTGACAATCTCTCCGAAGAAACCTCCTTCCTGAAATCAATCTTTCTGTAGGCGCTCCCATGACATTGAGCGGCCCACTTACACCAATCTTAACCGCCTTATCTCCCAGGTGAATGAGTACTACTTAATATATTTCAGGGTGTTTCCTTAAAAATTAACATTGACACTTGTAACTGATGAATTTGTTTATGCCATCTTTGTCGTAGGTGATTTATTCACTTACTGCTTCTTTGAGGTTTGATGGAGCCTTGAATGTCAATGTGACTGAATTTCAGACCAACCTTGTGTCCTACCTCAGGATCCATTTTATGCTTTCCTCATATGCTCCTGAAATCAATATAGATGGTGTAAGTGGTTTCGTTTACATCTACAAGCTTGTCGATGCGTGTTTGTTCCCGTGTCAAGATGAGCCAGGGAAAACTCTGCATTTTAATGGTTTTTAGCATGGTAATTTTGTTGAAATTACCATGCTAAATGTCTTAAGTATGTTGGTTAGTCCATCTAATATGGCTACACATTTGATAGTGTGTTCTAATTTTTAACCTTTAAACCATGTCCACTTGTATTTTGGTGTTTTTGTTTTGTGAATCAGGATATTTCAAGTTGGTCAACCTTTTTTCAATACATCATTCACATTGTTTTAGGTTGTGGCTAAACCAATTCTCAGTTGTCAGTACTGGATTTTTTAGTGTTAGTTACCATATTGACTGTGAAATAATTGAGTTATTTTGTTGATATTGAATCTTTTTGTAATGTTGAATCTTGATTTTTGTGAACCAATTCTCCGTAGTTAGTACTTGATTTTTTAGTGTTAGATACCATGTTGAGTGAAAGTTATGCACTAAAAAGTTGAGTTTGATTATATATAGTTCTTAAGCTTTACTGTTTCTAAGCAGCATTTTTAATAATTTTGGTTTCTTAATTGTCCTATTATGTGGAAATAGTTTGCAGAAACTTTTTATTACCATAACTCATGTGGTTTTACGGAGCAAGTTAGATTATTTGGGTAGATTGCTTTTAATCGATCAAGATTTTGGTCATGATGTTTCTCTTTGATTAACAATTGAATGCAATGATTGATAGTATATGCACCGAGTTTATCGAGTTTTGTCCAATTTTGTTCATTAATTTTCTGTTTGGCATTTGACAAGTTTAATGTGTTGTTTCATTGGTTTCATTATTACTGTGGGAATCTTCTTCTTCTACTCCTCAGTGACATATTTCTTAGTTAACCGAAATTACAAAATAATGGTACTTGCAATGCTACTTGATTAAGAATTTCCCTTCCGCACCTTATTTCTGTCATATTCTTTTTTCCATTGCATCTTGCTCGGGTGTATTTTAATTTTACTAGACATTGTCTTGCAGGTATTTTTTCCTCCTCATTAGCTATGCTGGATATTAAGGTTGGGGATTTGTCTTGCCTCCACAAAGATGTATGAGCTGCATGTATTTTTAGAGTTTTCATTGGGGTTGAAATTTGGTTTCCATTTACCCAACTAGGGTCATTTGAGTTTTCATTTGATATTTTTGGTATGATTTTGATCTACTACTGCATTACTAAATGTGAATGATTTGCTCTAGGTACTCTGTGTATGTGTGTGCCTATTCAGTTCATTTTAGTTCAATATTCAATTGTTACTCTTATATGCTATAAGTTGTTTGATGAAAATTCTTTAAGTAGCTGATCTCATTCCTTGCGCACACAAGCAGACTGACGCTGCATCACGGACACATTATTTTAGAGGGCCAAAGATCTTAGATATGAACTAGAAGTTGAATATTACATGTTTTGCCCATTGCAAATATAAGTTTCCACGTGTTTGTCTTAAGATTTTGTTAACTCCAACGTGATGCAGCCCATAACTTGGTAGTTCAAAGCCAGACCCATTTGTATTCTAGCTAACTGCCACTAGCCTATATTGTCTTTTGGTGGAGGCTGGAGTAATGGACCTTCAAATTAGTTCGCATGTGCAAATATTAGTTTTTATATCAAACTTTAATCTTACCTTGATATGTGATATGACAGGAGGTTGTTTCTGAAGTTCATAAAGGGTTGTTGGCCTGTTTTGCTGTTCTGCTCTATCAGTAGGTCTGCTATTCTGACAGGTTGCTGGTGTGAGCTGTACTGAGTAAAGGGCAGGAGCTGATGGGATTTCTGTTTACCAACTGATTCAGCACTTGAGCAGTAGGATTGATTAGAGGGCAGGTTTCCTGTGCTGGTCTGAAGCTACAGTGGATCAGACAAAGTAGGTGCTGAGCTGCAGAGGCAAGAACAGTTGCTGTACAGGATTTATAACATAAAACTTTTTTTTTACAGTTGAATGTTTTGGTTGTTAGACTGTTTTGGTACAGTTTCAGTTTTTTGCTTCTTGTAATTTTTGGTTTTCATGGAATATAATTTTCTCTTTTCCAAAAAATAAAATAAAATTATATGTGTGATATGACAGGTATAGAAAAAATGAGAGTATGTTCTGTTGTATATATGTACAAAACACAGGCTTGGCAATAGTGGGGAAACTAGGTTGTGGGATTATTTTTCTGTCCATATTCAATTTTGAAAATAAATGGATGATGATTTTGTTGGACCGAGTTAGACATTAATTTTATTGATTATATTTTTCATTAAAATATTTCATTAACTTATTGCTGCCTGTATCTGATTTTGTTGCATAAGCGCCAACATTCCTGTTCTTCTTTGTAAGAATTTTTTTTTTTTTGACTTCGTTATTCTGGATAACATTCTATTACATGATGGGGATAAAAAAATGCTCACAACTATGGATATTTAAGCCCTCATGTCATGACCCTTTGTTTCCAGTCTTTTGAATCAGTAATAAGGAATCAGCGAGATATGAGCTCTGTATTAAGTTTATAGCATATGCTCTGCAGGTGTAAGGCTTTACATATATTGATGTATTTGTTAATCTCAACAGTTATGGTTTAGGTTGATTTTCATATCACTGAACATCTTTTGTGTTCTACTAATTACAGGTATAAGAAAATTGTGTGCTTATAAAATTTTGCAAAATGAGTATAAGCCTGTGACGGCTTATGCATTTGTACAATTCTATGTCTTTTGATTAAGCATCTAAGTCTTATTCTATTGTTATTTTGCTATATATGAGATTGTATAAATTAAGTTTAGTTTAAAATTGAAGCGAATATACCTTTAACTTATGTTGCTTGGTCTTTGAAAAAATTGAACAGGTTAATACGGATTCATCTCGCCTTATGTTATACTTTTGAATATCTCATGTTTTTGCTCATATATAGTTGTGTGAATGTCTCATTATTCTTATTGCATATCACATAGTTTAAGTAGTGAAGTTTTTTCAATCAAATTAACTTAACATTGGCAGAGAAGTTTGTGGATTTGATGTTTTCTAAATGTAGGACTCAAGGTTGCCAACTTCTAACTTTCCCATCACCATTAGAGTTGAGAAATCTTCAATCTGGATTCAGTCAAGTGTTCTTCAAGACTCCGTCATAAGAACAAAAAAAACAAGTGCCAACAAAGAGGAGTTACTGTTAGTTGCATTTTTAATTTAGAAAGGAGGCTTGGATGTCAAGATGTGTTCATTTTCTTTCATAAACAAATTGTTGGAAAAAGGGGAAGGGATAATATGCAATGGCGCAGACAAGGTGCCAAATAATTGATTGTTGGAAACGAAAGAAATGTTTTATTTGGTTATTCCTTGCTCAACTTGGTTTTTAATTTTCTATGTTGTCAATAAGCTCAATTTTAATATTCCATGCTTTTTTGGTTTTAATCAAATAGTTTGTACTAGAGTAGAGTGCCAAACTTAATCCACTGTCTTTAAGTTTGAGATAATTGGTGCTCAATTTTTTTTGTCATGCAGTGCCTTTAGGCACGTTATTAAAATATTGAGAATCAAAAAGAGATAAAATAAATACTTTAAGAGACTATTAGTGCAATTAATTCTAACAATTGTTGTTATGTCACTGTGATTGCACTATGTCTGTTATTGTACAAGGCTATTACTATTACTCTATTGTTGTAAGTATAATATAAAACACGACAGACTTTAATAAATTCATCCAACGATCTCAAATTAACTCATTCAAAGACCATCAACTTTCATTTTAAAACTATTCACATTCCATCGTGCTTCAGGCACGGGTTATCCTTAAACTTCTCTTTCTCTCAAAAATCAATTCATCCAACCATCAGTGAACTAGGCAATAAATACTTCTCTCTATTGTTGATATTATTATGTTGTTGCAGTAGTTGATAAATGTTTTGTTACGCTAGAATTAGGATGTGATATTAAATTTGATAAATGAATTGAGTCGTGTTTTCTTTAAATTTATGTGTTTCTTAATAATAGGAAGATATGTACAATAAGTTGATCTATTTTGTCTATTTTTTTTAAAAAAAATAGTTGTCGTGATTAAATATATTTACTCGATTTTTTAGGACACTCAATTTTTATACCGCACCGTGCCTTTAGACACGAATTATTACTAATGTATATATATTCGCCATTCACGTAAAACTATTAACTTAACAAGGGATTTGGGTCATTTCAAAAAATTAGAAAATACGACACTAAAAAGTCAAAAATTTTCTAAGGATGACTTTCAACGCATGGTACATAAACGTGGGACTACTAATCCTCTTGTCCTCGTAAGCCCGCACCAAACGTGTCCAACCTCATCAAATCCCACCATCCTTTTATTCGGTAACTATCAAATCACCTCCTACTAATACATTTTCTACGGAGAGAGAGAGAGAGAGAGGAGGAGGAGGAGGAGGAGGAGGACGAAAGAGACAAATGTGGGTATTGACAACGAGTCAGGCTCGTGATCTGTGAAAACTGTGGGACAAGAAAAGAAAATTGCAGCCCCCAAAAGTCAGCTCTTTGTGTCACCATTTCAAACCAGTTCACCAGTTACTTTGTCCATAATATAATTAGATTTTCTAGACAGAAAAAAAAACTTTCTTTCTCTGGCCTTGAATGCAATTGGATTTAATCCCACTCCTTTTTCACATTTGGTTTCAAACCTTTTACTTTCTTTCTCTTTCCCTCTCTTTATTCCTTTCTTTGGATTCTGTATTGGCATTGGGAAAAAAATGGGAGGTAGGAGCACTTGAGTTTATAGAGGACTCTTTTGGTTCATTTGCAAGTGATATGCATTGAAAAATCAAATCTTTTTGAGGGTTTTCCCCGTTGGGATTTGTTTTGTGGGTCTGGATTGAACAACTTTCTTTCGGCATTTAAGCTCGTTGATCGGACTAGGGTTCACAGTCTGTGCACGTATTATCTGGGGATTTGAAATTAATTGGGGAGTTCTCATGTACTCTTAATGGTGGTGATTGTTGCTTCAGTTAGAAGTTCTTTGTTGGATTTTTCTTTGTGGTTTTTTAGGTGTTTTGGGATGTGGGTTTGAAATTTCTTCTTCTGGGGTTTCTTCTTCTTTTTTCTTTTCTTTATGCATACGCTAGTGCTTGTTTTCTTTACCAGTGTTAATTAGGGTTTTGCGTTCCTTGGTCTCTGGTCTGGGTATATGATTTCATGTGGGGACAAAGGATCTCGGTGGGTTTTCACTGGTGTTAATTGCTTCACTTGCACGTTGGGCCTTTTTTGTGAGTTTGTGATTTGTTTTTGGGATGTGGGTGTGAAGTGTCTTCATTTGGGGTTTTCCTTCCTTTCTATATAAGGCAGAGTGTGTTTTCTAATTAATTTAGAGTCCTTGTTCCAGGAATTGAGCTTCAGTTGGGGATTTGTGGATCTCAACTAGTCTTGGTGGCAGTGATTGTTGCTCCACTTGCAAGAAATTAGAGTGGTGCTTTGTGATTTCTGATGTGTTTTGGGAGGTGGGTGTGCAAAGTTTCTTATTTTGGCCTTCTTCTTACTTCTGAAAAGCAGTGACAGAGCAATCATGTCAAATTGAACAAGTTTATGGTGGTGTTGGCCTTGATTTGAGTTGGGTGTCTCCTTTGGCTTCGGTAATTGTGGTATTTGAGATTTTTCCAATGACTTTCCTCAATTGGGTATTCCTGGCTTTCTTTGTTTGTTCATCTCTGGGTCTTGAAATCCCCAGCCAAACATGTCATCCAAATGATTTGCTGGCTCTGCAAGAACTTGCAGGAAACCTTACATATGGGTCCATTATTTCAGCATGGTCCAATGAATCCATATGCTGTAAATGGGATGGTGTTGCCTGTGAAAATGGTGGTAATGGATCAGTTGCAAATAGAGTGACCATGCTTAATTTGTCCAAAAAAGGTTTGAAGGGAGTGATTTCGAATTCTTTGGGCAGATTGGATTGGTTGAAAGTGCTTGATCTTTCGCATAATCGTCTCGAAGGCGGATTGCCCACAGACCTTTCAAATTTGCAGCGGCTAGAAGTTCTTGATCTGAGTCATAACTTGTTGGTAGGACTTGTATCTGGAGTGCTTGTTGGATTGAAATCCATCCAATCACTGAACATTTCTAGCAACTCATTCAATGGGGACTTGCTGAATATTGGGGGATTTCCAAATGCTGTTGTATTCAACATCAGCAACAATTCATTTTCTGGAGAATTCAATTCTCAGATATGCAGTTCCTCCATGAGGATTCGGATTATTGATTTATCCATGAACCATTTCACTGGAGCGCTTGAAGGCTTGGACAATTGCAGCATATCTCTGCAGCAGTTGCATTTGGATTACAATTCTCTGTCAGGGCACATTCCGGACTCATTGTATTCAATGTCTTCTTTGGAGCAGGTTTCACTCTCTTCCAACAATTTCTCTGGCCAGTTAAGCATGAAACTCAGTAATATATCTAGCCTTAAGACCTTAGTCATAAATGGGAACCGATTTTCGGGTCCCCTACCTAATGTATTTGGGAACTTAACACATTTAGAACAGCTAGTTGCACATTCAAATTCGTTCCTTGGACCCTTGCCTTCCACACTGGCACTCTGCGCAAACCTACGGGTGCTTGATCTTAGGAACAACACTTTATCTGGCTTTATTAATCTTGATTTCACTCAATTGCCTTTTCTTTGTACTCTTGATCTTGCAAGTAATCATTTTTCGGGTCCCCTGCCGTATTCATTGTCTAGTTGTCAGAAATTGAAAAAATTGAGTCTTGCGAAGAATGGGCTAACTGGCCAGATTCCTGAGAACTATGCCAACCTCAGATCCCTTTCATTTCTATCTTTGTCGAACAACAGTTTCATGAATTTATCTAGAGCGTTAGATGTTCTGCAGCAGTGCAGGAATCTCACCACTCTCATCCTAACAAAGAACTTCCATGGAGAGGAAATCCCAAAAAGTTTGAGTGGGTTTGAGAGCTTAATGATTTTTGCACTCGGGAATTGTGGCCTGTATGGCCAGATCCCAGTTTGGTTAACTTATTGCAGCAAGTTAGAAGTCCTCGATTTGTCTTGGAATCACTTGGATGGCAGTATCCCTGATTGGATTGGTCAGATGGAAAGTTTGTTCTACTTGGACTTCTCGAATAATTCGCTTGTGGGTGAAATTCCAAAGAGTCTGACTGAGCTAAAGAGCCTCATTTCCATAAACAACAGTTCATCCAATCTTAACACTACCACTGGCATACCTCTGTTCGTCAAGCGAAATCAAAGTTCTACTGGTTTGCAGTACAATCAGGCTTCAAGTTTTCCTCCGTCTATATATTTGAGCAGTAATAAATTAAATGGGTCAATTTGGCCAGAAATTGGTCAATTGAAACAGCTCCATATCTTAGATTTGAGTAAGAACAACATAACTGGGACCATCCCTAGCTCCATTTCGGATATGGGGAACTTGGAAGTTCTGGATTTGTCATGCAATGATCTTTATGGAGTGATTCCTTCCTCATTCAATAAGCTCACTTTTCTGTCGCAGTTCAGTGTGGCTAATAATCACTTGCAGGGAGCAATTCCAACTGGGGGCCAGTTCTTAAGCTTTCCCAACTCAAGCTTTGAGGGCAACCCTGGACTTTGTGGGGGGGTTGTTTCTCCTTGCAATATGGGACTTCAACCAGCCATCCAACCTGGTTCCAATAGTAAATTTGGCCGAAGCAGTATCGTTGGAATAACGATTAGTATAGGAGTTGGGATTGCAGTGCTCTTGGCCATTGTTCTTGTTAGAATGTCAAGGAGGGACGTGGGAGATCCAAGAGAAGGATTCGATGAGGATATCAGCAGGCCGCACAGGTTATCTGAAGCGTTTGGGCCTTCAAAGTTGGTGCTTTTTCAGAATTCGGATTGCAAGGATCTCACAGTGGCAGACTTGTTGAATTCTACAAACAACTTTAGCCAAGCAAACATCATTGGTTGTGGAGGATTTGGTCTGGTTTACAAAGCTGACTTGTCTAATGGTATGAAAGCTGCAATCAAGAGGCTTTCTGGGGACTGTGGGCAGATGGAACGTGAATTCCAAGCTGAAGTTGAAGCCCTTTCAAGAGCTCAGCACAAGAACCTTGTCTCTCTTCAAGGGTATTGTCGGCATGGGAATGACAGGTTATTGATCTATGCATATATGGAGAATGGAAGCTTGGATTATTGGCTACATGAGAGGGTCGATGGAAGCTCAGTGCTTAGGTGGGACACGAGACTGAAGATAGCCCAAGGTGCTGCTTGTGGATTAGCTTACTTGCATAAGGAGCCCAAAATAGTCCATCGAGATATTAAAACCAGCAACATCCTTTTGGATGAGTGTTTTGAAGCTCATTTAGCTGATTTTGGGCTCTCAAGGTTACTTAATCCTTATGATACCCATGTGACGACAGATTTGGTTGGGACCTTGGGGTATATTCCTCCTGAATACAGTCAGACATTGACAGCAACTTTCAGGGGTGATGTTTACAGCTTTGGTGTTGTTCTTCTTGAGCTTCTTACAGGTCGACGACCCGTGGAAGTCTGCAAGGGAAGAAACTGCAGGGACTTGGTGTCATGGGTGTTTCAGATGAAATCTGAGAAGAGGGAGGAGGAAATATTTGATTCATCGATATGGGATAAGAAAAGGGAGAAAAAACTTCTAGAGGTGCTTGGTGTAGCTTGCAATTGTATAGACCAGGATCCAAGGCGAAGACCCTCTATTGATCAAGTTGTTTCATGGCTTGATTTAGTGGGAATAGGGGATAGTAGACAATGATATTTATTATTGTGTTTTCTTCTCAGCGAGCTCACTTTCTTTTGAGTTTTGAAGAGAAAAACATAACTGTAGAGAGAGTATTGATAAATTTACTTCGGTTTTCCCTTAAACACTGCTTTGGTAGTGGATAATGAGAAGTCTGGATTCTGTATATGTAGGCCAACTTGGCCATAATTTTTCAGCTGAAATAATGGAAATCCGCATTTGATGCATATACTTGTAATGTAGGAGACATCTCTATTTTTCTCCGGAAATCTTTAGAATTACTTCTGCTTAGCTTTCAGTTCCCTCGACTGTCAAAGGAAATGTCAATAACCTGCCCGAGCTTTACATATTATTTTGATGTCGGTGTAATTTGAAGCCTTCCTTGCTGCTTTACTACGTCATTTTTGAAGTTAGTTCCCTTTTATACTTTGTTTTGTTTTCTTTTTCTTTGCTTTTAGGTTGAGATTTCCAATTTGAAGAAAGGAAAAAAAAGAAAGAGCTAACAACTTGTGTGGTGATGACTCCGTTCTTGAGAATGCAGCAGAATGTGCAGTCTCCATAATTCATCAGATTGCATCCTAATGTTCTGCTTTCCCTTCAGTCGTTAGATGCAATAAAGCTGCGTATCCTTTCATGATCATTCTTTAAGCACATACCAATCTTTCTGTAGATCAATTGTTGTTGCCTTTTGTTTTTCCCTTTTGTGGTTGCTCCGTTTAAATGATATATCATATTGAAGTATTCAACTTATATTTTGATTACTGTAGGAATGCTAACTAGTATTATTTCTGAATGAAATTATGTCATTGACATAAAATTGATGAACCTTGTTCGGAAACATCTTAATCTGATGTAACATTAGCTGCAGTACTTTAGTCTGTCTCATTGATGATGTTGGTATAAAGAATTTGCTTTGGCTGTATTACAGGGACTTGGTGAAGTAATCACTCTTTGCTGCTATGGATACTCCACAAAGGTGTACTCTCAGCTAGATTGAAAGGGTTTACTGGTAAGTGGTGTATGAAGCTGCATTTGGTTTTATGGTGAGAAGAGGAAGTTAAGGTCCTAATAGCTTGCATCAGTTTGCTGCTTTCTTGCGTAAGGCTTGAGCACTAAGTTCAACTATTTTCTTGCTGGCTCAATGTAACTGGGAATGAATACTTATGTATTGAAGGAGGTACCATGTCGAAAGTTACAAGTAAACAGAAAATCACTCCCAAATAGTTCTATTTTATTGCACCTTACCTTTATTATGTAAGAACTGTGATAAGATTCCGAAAAGTGACCACAGTATTACACAAGTCCCTTTAGGGATCGATATTGGATTGTGATGGTGTTTTTTTTAAGCGAATGAGCAATTAGGGTGATTGTCTAAACATAGTCAAACCAGAGCTGCTGAGCCAAACTGATGAGTCAAAGATGGATTGAGCATGGAATGATTGATTTTTATAGTGAAAGTATAGTGGTTCATCAGCCCGGAAGCTTGGCTAATCCACTCTCTAATGGAGTCTCTTGTCCCTTGTATCTTTATTAATCACGAATTCCATTTACAGAGAATCTCTCAGTATGTTAGGTTTTTCTCCCTTTCATTGGAGGCATTGTACAATATTTATAAACCGGTCCCTATTCCTCAGGGATCTACAACAAGATTTTTGCCCTTCATTCATGGGTTCTCCCTTGATTTTAGGGAGATCTTTGGTTGGTTAAGTGTCTTGTGCCTTGATTATAGCTCCCCATTGCTATGAGGACGCCTTTCATCAGCTAACTGTCCTCTTCTCAATTTCCTTGTTAATCCCTTTGTAAGAAACTCGAGTGTTGGATTGTTGAGCTTTGGTTTTGGCCTGACCTCCTGGTCTGAGCTCATTACTTGAGCGCATACCTAGAGTTTTTCTTGGTATCACCAATTGCCCCCCAGCCCTTGGTCTAAGCTGGCTTGGACTAGGGTTTTATCAAGGCTGGTCCGAAGGAGACCTCTATCCATCGATCTCGATAGTCGTGCAAACAGGTTTTTGACGATCACAAGCAATCATTTCCTTTCTTATTTCTCACGCATGTTCCTCATTCCAAAGTCCCACGTACCAGTAGCTTTAAATGCCTCTAAGTTGATGGAAAACAACTTTCACTCCATCTTTTGAATTTTCTCTTTCGGTTTCTCTTCTTCCTCGCGTCCCCAATTCATCGGTGATCTTAGGGTTCCGCTGAGTTGCCATCCTTCCTCGAATTGGCTTGCAAGACTTGTTCTTATTTCTCGCTTTGGGGTTCTGAATTTCCATCCACCCTTGATTAGGTACGTCTTCTGCCCCTTGCGTGTTTCTTCATTCTGGATCCCCTGAACCTAAGGTGGTTATTGCATTTTTGAACTTTTTAGTTCTGTTACTTTAGGAATCGAGGTCTCTCCTTATCTTGTCTCCCCCTTTTCCTGGATCCCTACTCTACTGCTAGGATCTTCGTTATCGGAAGTTGTTGCGTCGAAACTGTGATCATCAGAGAGTGTTATTCAGAGGCGCCTCCTCTCTATAGATCTTTTAGGCTCCATTTTTCTTTCCCCAATATGTCTGCCTCCTCTGAAGCTACTGCTTCGTTGGTTTCCCTTATGGATAGATCTCTTGAAACAGAGGATTCTGACCTAGGAGATATGGGAGAGGATATCGATAACTTTCCTGGCATTGGCTCTGTTGATATTGAGGAAAATATTGAGGAGCCTCCCTCCTCACCCTCTCCAATGCCCAAGACCCCCAATAAAGATAAGACCAAGGTGAGTGGCGTAGGGATCTCGGACAGTGCTAAGGGTATAGGTTCCAGAGTTGCATAACTCGTAGGTGCTAGCGAGGTCTCCCCTCCCTATATGAAAGTCATGGTTGCTCGCTTCGGCTTTCCCCAGGATGTAGAGTACTGGTGCCCAGATGAATTTACTCGGTATAACACTAAGGTTCCCGATAAAACCTATTTTTTTGTTGCTTCTCTTGAGAACAGGCTTAGGTTCCTTGTACACCCCTTTATTAAGTCAGTTCATCAACATTTCAATGTTTGCCCTGCTTAGATCTCTCCTAACTTTTGGGGGGTGTTGGTGGGTCTTCTAGTCTTTTTCAAGAAAAATGAACTTGACACCCCTACTATTCCACTGCTCATGAAATTCTTCCACTGCTCATGAAATTCTTCAAAGTCAAATTCAACCCAGACGGCCTTTTATACATTGCCAAACGGGTTAATATCCCAGCCCAGATTACTGACCTGCCCAACTCTCATAAGAACTAGAAAAAATAGTTCTTCTTTGTGTCAGGAAAAATGTGGGAATTTGACCCCAATGACGCCTCTGACTCACTTCCATTCCCACGCTCTTGGGCGAGTCCATATAACCTTGGTAAGCTTAAGGTCTCGTAACAAGGCCTTCCTTTCTTCTTCTTGCCATAGCTACTGAGCTCATTTCTTTGGTTGTTCCAGGTGTTTGTCCTGAGCTATGAGCAGAGGACAATAGGGTTCTACTCACCTTTAGAGACTGGAAATCCTAGAGGTACTCTAGTCTAATTGATCCTTCCGAGACTAGACTGGGTTTCAGCCCTCCTGAGGTGAGGATTGAAGCCCCTATTCCTTTTTCCGTTGCAGGAGTTGAAGGAATAGCAGATAGTTTTTCTGCCTTTGGCTCTTTCCTACTCTAGCCGTCCTTTTCCTTTCTTTTCTTCTAAACCGTTTATTCTGTGTGCTTCTCAGGTTCTTCATTGATGGAGCCCACCATGAAGGATCGCAAAGCTAAGGTGGATTTGATATGGAAAACCTGGAATGTTAGTAAGCGCAAAGCTGAAGTCGGTTCTGGGAATGATCCAGCTTCCCAACCAAAGTATTGAGGCTGGAAGCACCTCCTACCTCTCTCCAAGTATCTCAAGTGACGTTTTTATTGCCTACGAGCTCCTAGAAGACTGCACAGTCCCCTTCTTCCCTTGAGGCTAGGTTGTCTGCCTCTGGAGGAACTCCTGAACAGAGTATAGTCCCGAGCTCTCCCTCCTCGGTTGAGGTTGAAAAAGCTTTGGAGATAGTCACTCGTGTGTTACCTGGGTCTTGTCCTCCTTGCCCTCCTGAGAAGCCCTCTTAACAGCTTACCAAGGGTTCCAGGGATGAGAAGGGGAAGCTCCCCAAAGTTGAGACAAGTGGAGGCTCCCTTATTGACAACGTAAAGTGTGTTGTAGAAGTCATTGCCTCTATTATTACATACTCTGACATAAAAAGGGCTGTAACCATACCCCTCGGGACCTCCATTTCCATTGCCTACTTCAATGAGTTCTTAGTTTCTTAGATTTCTCCTTCGCCTTTCCCCCTTTCCTCATGCTTACTTTAGCTCTTTGGTTGTGCTTGCTTCCAGATGGCCATTCATGTGAGTGGCTTATTGAAGAGGATCCAGGCTTTGGAGGGCTCAGCTAAGGCTTCCAGGACTTTCAAGCTCAAGGCTGTTGAGCTGTCCTTTGAGAATAGTGACCTTAAAGCCCAGGTTCAAGACTTGCGGGCTCAGGTAGAGAGGCATACCTCTACTATGAAGACCCTGGAGGCTGAGAAGGAGAAATTCAAGATTGAAGGCAGGATAGCCCACGAGGAGCTCAGAAAGACAAAGGAAAACCTCTAGCAAATGACTGATGATTGGATCAAGACCAGTAAAGAGTCCCTTGATGCTCTAGTTTCTTTCAGGCATATAAAGAACGAGTATGATATTTTAGCAAAAACAAATGACGTTCTTCGGAAAGAATTCGAGGTGTAGAGGATTGCCATTAAGGAGAAAGATGATCTGATTGCCAAGCTAGCAGACGATGTTACCACCCAGTGGCTACTGGATGGCTTGCTTTCCAGGATAAGGCTGAAGAGACCTATCCCGGTCTAAGTTTCAACTTTGACATTCCTATTGAAGAAGGAGCTGAGGCAGCTAACCCTGAGGTCAGTGCTAAGTCCTCTTTTGCTCCTAGGGCATCTCTTGAAGGCGTTATGAGGTCTACTTCGAGTACTGAGGTCTTGGCTTAGGATGTTTCTCCTTCCCTGGTTACACCTGTGGATTCTGCTGCTGATGCCGTCTCTTCTCCCACCATTGCTGAGCTCCCTACTACTCCTGCTGTTACCTCTAAGGTTGCCCCTTTTTTGCTGATCTCGATTCAATTGTTGACTTATCATAGGCCTCTATTGCTGATCTTCTTGCCTTGTCATCTACTGAGCTGCTGAGTTGCCGA